AACCTGCACACGAACTCCTCGACAAATCGCACCGCAACGGTGACCGCCTTTTCATCAGGGATGGGATACGCTTCAAACCATTTACTGAAGTAATCACCGACCACAAGGATGTTTCGGTTTCCACTAGTTGTTACAGGGAAGGGCCCACAGATATCCATAGCCACTCGCTCGACAGGTAACCCAACTAAATGTTGCTGTAGAGGTGACTTCCGCTTCTTGCTCGGCGACCTTCTCTTCGCACACAAGTTTCACTGCCTAATGAAGGACCTGACATCAGCACTCAAGCCTGACCAATGGAACTTAAGGCGTACCTTAGCCATGGTCCTTTTTGTACCCAGGTGACCGCTTGTCCTTCCTGCATGCATCTCCCGCAGTATCTCCTCCCGATACTCTTGTGGCACTAAAGTCTGCCAATGCACCTCCCGTCCATCGTGGGACTCCCACCGACGCTGCAAGATCCGTTGTCGGACTGTCAATTGTTCCCATTGCAGCTAGTAGTTCTTCGCAGCCATGGATTTTGGAGAAACTATCTCCCAGTCAGGGCGTGTGCCTGCCTCTTCCTTAGCCTGAATAAGCCAGTTCATCTGTTCGTCCTCGAGCTGAGCCCTTCTCCAACCTTCCTTTAAGATTTGGGGTTGCACCCCCACCACGCGTAAGTCTGCTCGAACCTCCGCGTCTTGATCCGAAGTGTCCATCACAACACTTCTTTCCACAGATTTCTCTTCATCTGCGTCACTGCTGATTTCGTCCCTTCCGCACTGTGAGCAGGGTCTGCGTGACAGGCTATCAGCATTCAGGTGTGACTTCCCAGCCCGATGGACTATCTCGAAGTCAAACTCTCCCATGATCTGCAGCCAACGCGCTGTTTGTCCTGTCGGGTCCTTGAAGTTTAGAAGCCACCTCAAGGCTCCATGGTCTGTCCTGATTGTGACTCGATGTCCATATATGTACTGTCTAAACTGCCTCAGAAAATTAACAACAGCAAGCAGTTCCCTGCGCGTAACGCAATAGTTTTGTTCTGCTTTCTTTAGAACTCTGCTGGCATAAGACACAACTCTCTCTTGGCCGTCCTTTACCTGAGACAGAACTCCTCCGTTCCCTAAAGCGCTGGCGTCAGTATCCAGGATGAATTCCAACTTAGGATCAGGATACATCAAAATCGGTGCCCTAGTAAGTCGTCCTTTAAGTTCCTGAAACGACTCCTGGCACTCCTCTGTCCACTCAAATTGCCTTGATTTTTCAGTCAGACGGTGCAGGGGACGGGTGATGTCCGAAAACCCCTGAATTAGGCTTAGCTCTTTAGAAACTGTCCTCCTGTACACCTTAACGTCGTCCAGATATACTAGAAGAATTTCCCAGTGCAGGCCACTGAGAACTCACTCCATGAGCCTCTCAAACGTTGACGGCGCGTTACACATGCCAAAGGGCATGACACGCCAGTTAAACAGCCCTCCCCTTAAAACAAACGCCGATTTCTCCTTCGCTTCGTTGTCCGGGGCTACCTGCCAGTAGCCTGAAGTCAAGTCCAGGGTTGAAAACCAGCCTGATCAGGCAAGGACGTCCAGTGAGTCGTCAATTCTTGGGATAGGGAAGGCGTCCTTCACAGTCATTGCATTTAGTTTTCTATAGTCAATGCAGAACCTTTTGGTCCCATCCTTTTTCCTGACCAATACTACATTTGAAGCCCACGGGCTGCTTGAAGGCTCAATTTTTCCTCCCTCGAGTAAGTCCTGAACTTGTCCGTATATTTCGTCCTGCTCTGCAGCAGGGAACCTTCGTGGCCTCTCACGTCTCGGCCTCACATCGCCTGTATCTATTCGAAGCTTCACCCTGTTAGTGTGCCCAATGTCGTCCTTATCCCTCGAAAAGACGTCACTATAGTCGTTCAGTAGCCCTGCTATCTGTTGATGAAACTCTGAGTCGACCCCTTCAGTGCTTCTGTTATACAGGTCCCTTAAATATTCAGGTAGTTCCTGCAGTAAGGAACCCTGCCATGCTGCTCGCCTTCACAACGCACAGCCGCTGTCCTGGATTAAATACGCGAATTGGCAGCCTTCCTTCGTCTGGTTTCACCAGTAGTCTTGCCACTACAAGTCCTCTGCCCGAAAGTTCACCTTCATCTGCAGGTTCGAGTACTCCTATTCCCGCTACCTTAGTTGTAACCCGGCCTGGCACAAGAGCTTCGTGTCCAGGCGGCACGATGGTCGTCTCCTCAACCATCACTCGGGCGCAAAAATGTGCGCCTTGTCTGTCAAGACACTTGATCTGCTCCCAATTTACGGTGAACATCAAGTTTCTAAAATCCAGCCTCCCATCGGTCGGCATCAAGTAATCCATTCCCAGGATTCCTTCGACTTCCAGTTGTGCAAAAACAACACAAACTGCTCTCACTGACTTCCCAACCTGGACCGCTACACAGGCGCTTCCCATAGTCTTGATTAATGTTCCGTCTGCACCATACACCCCAACTCCTTCAGTGTTCAGCGTAGGTCTTCTTTCCGGTGACATATTGTAGTACGTCTACATAGAAAGTAAAGTGTTTGTAGCACCAGTGTCGATCAACATGTTCACCTTAAGTCCCCTAACCACAGCAGGTACGAAAAGTCCACTTCCCTGTCGCAGCGTCTCCCTTAAGGCTGGCACCTCAAGGGTGGGCAAGCCTCCTTGCCCGCAACTCAAGGGGGATTCCTTAAGGGTTTCCTCTCCTCGCAGTTGTCCATCACTCTCCAGTGGTACCTGGTGGGTCTTCACCTCCTGGTCTAATGATCCACTTCCACCTTAGTGGTGGCTTCCTTTGCACTTGTCTGACCCTTGACTTCTTCCAGCCGTTTCACAGGTCCCTGAGACGGCTGCATGTCATTTCCCGACATCCTTGATCTCCTGGCCTTCGGCTTCTTGCAGTCTCGCGCAAAATGCCCTTTCCACCTGCAATTGTGGCACACGTCCTCAGTGTTTGCCTTCCTGCGTCCGAAAGGTCGTCTCGTCTCCTTGCTCCCAGTAGGAACATTCTCCCCTAGACGGGAAATTATCTGCTGGACAGCTCGATCTACGACTGCCTGATTAACCGGAACCTCTCCCGTAGCCTCCACGGTTGGCTCCATTTCCACCATTCTTGTATACTTCTTGGTTTTATCTGCAGCTCTCTGCTCTTCCACCTTGTGGAAGCTCTCAGCAGCCAGAGATGCCTTAATTGAGTCATCCAGGGATGTTGGTTTGGCCCTGAAAATCGCTTCTCTAATCGCCCTATTTCCAACTGAATCCATGAAATGTCCTCTCGCTAATCGATCCCTTCCTTCCTCTAAGAATTCGGGAAACGCTAACGCAGAGAGCTCCCTGATACTCTGCCCTAACTCCTGTAATGTCTCTTTTTCACCCTGACGACGATGTTGAAGCTCCATTAAATGGTACTCCGCCTGTTGACCTGGGCCGAACCTCTGGTCTAACGAGCTGATTAAATCCCTGAAGGAATATTTCCTACCCTCCGGCTGGCAACCCAACACACTTAAGGCTGGTCCCTGGAGGCTTGCAGCAAGAAGCACCTTCGCTTGCCCATCGTTCCAACCATTGGCCACACGACAGGCCATAAAGTGTGCCTTGTAGTCCTTGCAAGGCACCTTACCGTTAAATCTATCCGGACAAATGTTCCGTTTCCTTAACTTGATCTCTGATTCAGCCACGTCCTCCTTGACTGGCTCCGATGTGTTTTTCTCCTTAAAGACCGTTCCTGCAGGTCCATCTTTCTTGGTTGTCTCCAAGGTACATTCCTCTCTCACAGAGGTTGCCATCGTATTGGCTGGTGTTGCTGGCACTGTTCCAAAGGGTGACATCCTCTGTGTTAGCGAAAACAACTCTGGAGTTTTAATTCCCGGTGTCATTTCCAGTCCACGCTGCGTAGACTCCAGCAACTCCCCTTTTATCTTCTCCAGTTCGTCCTTCAGACGCTGCCTTTCCTCAATGGCCTCCTGAAGAAGTTCATCTCCTCTCTGGACATCCATTCTAAGAATGGCAAGTTCTTCCTCCATCATGTCTTTATTCAGCAGTTCCATTCCTTTTATCCTCTATCCTCAAGGTTCCTGATGTACGCTTTTATCCCACTTCTGACACCAATGTGGCGCTGCTTGAACCGGGGCTCCTCTTACTCAAGTCGCCCTGGCCTCCTGAATAAACCTTTGGTAAGCCTAGACGACGGTGATCTAGGTGACCTAGGGAATGCGTCCGTTCGGAAGGCCATATGCCGCCAACACGTACAAAGTAGTCTCCTTAAGGGTGTTCACTTAAGGGAGGGACACTAACTGGCAGACTGAACAAACGATGAAGGAACAGACACTGACACCTTTATTCATCAGACAACAACGACAATCAAGTTCTTTTAATTCTCTATTGGGTTCAATTAGAATGTAAGAGTTAATCAACAATAATTACTGGATGAAACGGCACCTACGTCAAGGATGGACTATTCGCAGCGCTCCCCCACGCTCTTTTGCGACTTCCTATCAGGCAACCTCAAGTTACCGGCGGCAGGACTCCCGAGGCCCCAATGGATACAGCCCACGAGGTAGCAACACACAGACCATGAATTCAGATCCCCGGTGTGTCTCCAGCTACTAACCTCCTGTCCTCGCCCAGTCGTCAGCACGTCAGTGCAGCAACACGACAACGCACACACACACACGTTCATTCTCCACGAGACGCCGCAATTCACGTTCGTACTCAACGACGTGCTGTGATCAGCTCATGCTTTAGAACACGCGAACAGACCCAATTTCAGAGGGCGCTGCGCAAGCTCGCTGCTGCTCGCGCTATAAATAATAACTCGCTGCAAGCACACCGTTGCTCCACACTATCGTATGCTTGTTCTAACTGCTGGGCACCTTTGAAAAACAGTGTTCCACTGAAAGGTCTCCCCAGGATAAACAAGAAATAAATAGATATGCTACACCGGTACCCTGAGATCAGCAAAACTAACAATAATTTTGCTATTTCAATTAACTTGCTTTTAGGTGCGGGTGGGGCTTGGATCCCGAATGAAATCAACAAAGGTCACCTTGAGTACTTCTTCCTTCTACTAGCTCTGATCATGGCCATCGACTTCGGCTGTTTTCTGCTCATTGCAAGGGGCTACATCTATGTCGAGGATGCCGAGCTACAGTATGACAACCGACCCCCTGACCCTGGGGAGAGAGGAAAAAGATCTAGCAGGAAGAAACAGGGGGGAAATCAGTCTGAAACCTCGCCCCTTTTGAGTGATTCTGGAATGATATAGAAATAAGTTGCCTTTTTGTTTCTGCCATCACCTACTGCCTTTCCCTTGGACTTTTGCCTTTCATTCACATATGTGTGTTTAAATTTCTTGTATGTTATACAAATATTGAGTGGCTCAGAGTGAAATGGGAGGAATATGCTCGCAAGGTTAAATCTGGACTTTTCCATTTCACGAGGCGAAGCCGAGTGAACTTGAAATGTCCAGGCCGAGCGATAATATTCCTCCCATTTCACAATTTAAATATTTGTTTTATATAACTGACATAAAGATCCGTGTCACTTGATATATTTGAACTTTTATTTCACTACAAAATTGGTGGAAAAATTTCTCTCTTGTAAACCACCCCTTCAGGAAAATGTTTGAACCCATCTCTGTAGCGCTGGCTCTTTGGAACAATAGGCGCTACAAGGATGATCCTAACTGTTCAATAGTATTTCCCATTCCCCATGGGTGAATCAGACTTTTTGAGCCCCTGCGTGAATGGGAGCAATAACGAATGTAACGTGATGTGAGTCCCACCAATCAAATGACAAGGATCTGTATGTCAGTTATATAATAGTTACTAAGCTTGTGTTATTGGGCCTATAACGCCCATCCATCAATACCCGAGACAGTTTCGCAATCTTATTGACCTATATCGCTGTTTGCGATATATACAGGGCAAGTCAACTTAAAAAAGCAAAACCCTAACCCCCAAAAATATATTTCATATTTAAAAATATGTAACACATAACACAATGACTGGAAAGCCAATTTTGTAAGCTACTTTTAGTTGAAAAAAAAATAGTAAAATTGCTGAATCCGTTCAAAGAATATCACCATTTACATGCAGTGACCCTAAAACCTGTTTCGTCCCAAACAGGTATGTAACAAAACAACAACTAATCCCTGAAAACAGAATAACCACAGCAAAACCCCCAAATTCTGGTAACGGTTTTGTGCCAAAGCATGAAGCTTCTGCGGAAAATATGTTGCTACCTGACGCCACTTTTTTCTTCATATATCATCTCAATGAAGGTCATTCACTGCAAAATGATGATAAGACATGAATCTGGCTCTGAGGAAATACTTAGAAAATGTTCTTGACTCTCCATAGACTTTGTACACAATCGCGGAAGTGGCATCAGGTTGCAACATTTTTTCCGCTTCTGCCGTGAATGACATCCGCGCAGTTTACAAACCCAAGCACATGCAGACATGCATAGTGATTCATATTGTGCTACAGTCTTAAGGAAATTGTGCCTCGAAATTGATCATAAGATGGACAGAGGCTGGTGAAAATCATGCCTTTATGGGAGCAACAAACAACACTGTCCAGAAAAGGGAAATTTCCTTGTCTTATTCTCTGGGTGAAAGTGCTATGCAATATAAATAGACCATTATCATGTTGCGGCCATCTTGATTTTTTTCCCATTCAAATCAACGTAACCAACATGAGGCTGGAAGGAAAAATGGCCTGGTCCTTTTTGCACACAAAAAAACATCATTCAGTACTGTTATTGGATACAGGGAGCATGACTGAAATGGTGGCAGCATGATGAAGGTCTATATGGTTCCTTTTTGAAATTCTTAGCAAACTATACAACTCATTGTTACAATTTACTCGTCTTTCACATGAGCACGTAGGTCTATGATGAATTTTTCAAAGAAGTATGAAATACTTGTACAAAACACACCTTATTTTTGTAAATTATGTAATTCACTGATTCTTTTTTAACCGATATTTATGTATATATGTATATTTGTATTTGTATTTGTTAAGAAATTCAACTGAAAAGAATATTGTTGAATAAGTAAATGTCTAAGAATAAGTAACCAGAACACAGCATTGTCTGAAATTAACCTTTAGTTAGTTTAGTTTAAACCCAGAAATAAACAAAGGAAATTTTATTGAATTTGTAATGAAAAGTTTAAGCTATCTTCTGCAGTACGGTATTAATCATTTGACACATTTTTGTATGTGAAGCTGATATATTTTTGTACGGAAACATTTTCCAGATTTCCTGAAATCCAAAGGGATTTTCCATTCTAGTAAGAAAACACTCACCTCTGTTTAACTACATTTGTATATCAGCGCAAATGTAGGTAAACAGAGGTGAGATGTTTTCTGTAATGGAATTCCTCAGAAATCCAAAGGGATTTTCCATTCTAGTAAGAAAACACTCACCTCTGTTTACCTACATTTGCGCTGATATGCAAATGTAGGTAAACAGAGGAGTGTCATGGCCTAGCGGTTAAGAACACCGGACTCATGCTCTGGTGTTTCAGAGGCAACAGTGGCGTGGGTTCGAGCCCGGGCCCGGACACTTGTGCCCTTAAGCAAGGCACTTAACCATTATTGCTTCGTCCTTCGGATTGGACGTAAAGCTGTAGGTCCTGTGTGTTGTGTAATGCACGTTAAAGACCCCAGTAACACCTATCGCTAAGAGAAGGGGTTTTCCCCGGTGTTTCTGGCAGTGGCCGCAATATGCGCCGCAGCACCTTGTAACCCTTAAAGAGAATGTACATCATTGGCTTTTGCTGTAATTTTCATAAATGAACTATTTGAGGGGTTAGTATAATAGATCAAATATTGTTACACTGACATGTTTGAAGTTTTGTTTTCGAAAATGCTGGAAAAACCAAGGAAAACTAAAAACGTTCAAGTAGTCTGGTTCCCCGACTCCACTAAAGATGAAATGGATCAATTTATAGATGCCGGAAAATTGTAACGTAAGGGAACCAGTCTAGCTGGCCTGCGCCCGTTCATGAACATGTCACCAATAACAAACAAAATTTGGACTGAAAAATGGTAAATTTCGGAGCAGTAGTTGAAAAGGTTTTTCCAACGGTGGTCGGCCGACCACCGTTGGAAATCAATACAAAAATACCACTTTTCTTGAAAATGACTTCACACCAGGTGCCATAATTTTACAGGATGCCTTAGACTGTCATTTACCAACATCCTAGTAAGGTATTTCGTAAAAATGTGGTAGTTTTGTTTTTCGATGTTTGCAAATGTTGTATATTCCCTTTAAAGGTGCTACATAATGGGTCTCATATTTTTCTCATATTGAGGGCCTCCATGGAAAGCAGTGCCCTGCACTGATCGGAGCTACCCTCACTAAAGATGACGTAAATAACAAAATAGATGATTTCTGTAATGGAAATTATTTTTTAATGGTACAGTTTTTATACTTTTGAATACATAATTAAAAATACATACATAAACTAGAGTTTCGCATTTGTTAAGTTACAAACGCAGAGTGGTCGGGCAGACAGCCCAGTTATACACTGCCCAGTAGGAACGTATGTTCATGTAGAAAAAAGGATCACGAAATTAAATCCCTTCAAGTACAATCAATGTTTCAAAAAGATATCTTTAACGGTGTGATAAATTTCAGTAAACATTCTATGTGTACAAAAAAGTTATTTCTGGTTTGATGTTGTCATCAGTCAAAAACAGTTAGTGAATACTGATAAAGTTCGGAGAGGATATTTTTTCATTGTAAAGTTGAAATACCGTATGAAAATATGGGAAATATAATTGTTTGTATTAATAACACCTAACTTCCGGTTTGATGACGTATTAATAACACATAACTTCCGGTTTGATGACGTCACAGCATTAGAGATCCAAAGGTGAACATTGTAATGGATATCATTATTTGGACTTCGAAGATATGACAGGGATCAAATGATGGAATTAAATTAAAACTACGATCCTTTTCAAATTCTCCTTAAAGTAACTTCCGGTCTGATGACGTCATGAATTTGAAACCTTGTCAATTAAGTTATCTGTGGTTAATCAGAGAATATCAAGGGGCGATTTTGTAAAATTTGGACGGATGGTTTTGCAATTAAAGAAGGAAACCTCTATTTATGTGCCGATAGGGGGCGCCCTTTCGGATGTTGACGTCATCACACTGTTTTCTTTGCATCTTGCATTCCTCACTCAACACTTTCATAATATATATGTCAGTAGTAAAATGCTTCCGCTTTTGAGTTATATTCAGTTTTTATTGCACTTCCGGTAACACCGGAAGTAAAGGTCAAGCAGTTTTGCGTCTGGGAACACGAAATGTTTCTCATGGCATAGTCTACAACCTCACGAAAAACGAACATGATACTCTATTTAGTTCAAAAGATATAACGCAAACTATTTTGTCAAAATTTGCCGTTAAATCGCTTGTAATTTGATACCTGATGACGTCATGAAGACGTAACAAAATTTATAACATCTTCGTAACATGGTACAAGTTCACACAAGGTTTTGTGATCATACCGTGAACCGTTCGGAAGAAATGTTGCTTTGTTTTGATGTCATGCTAACGTCTTCATTTTGAATTGACCTAACTTTGACCTTCCGGTAGACCCGGAAGTAAAGGTCGAGCGAATGTTTAGTTCAAGAGTAATAGGTGAAAGTAATTGGTCACTTTTTCAGATAAAATCACTTGTAATTTGACACCCGTAATCATGACGTCAGGGTAATATGCACCACTTCGGATGAGGGTCGATATATATTGAAAGTTACAAGTTCATACCATATACCGTTTAAGAGAAAACCCGCGGAGAAGTATTGTCCGGAAAAAAAGAAGAAGAAAGAACTAGAGTTTCGCGTTTGTTGTTACAAACGCAGAGTGGTCGGGTAGACAACTATTTTATGAAACACTGTCCAGTTAACGGGAACATGTAATAGGAGTTATATGACTTAAATACATTTAAAACAGCTTTCTTGCCATGTAACTATTAAGTTTCCACCCCCTTTGTAGCAATAAAAGAGAGAAATTTCAACATTTAAGCTTTTATGCTAATGAAAATTTCCATATTCATGAGCCAAAGTGTGATGTCATTCAAGGCAGAACCGTAGTGTCTCCATAGCTTTGTGTATACAAATATATGTCAAAGTTTTCTTTATTTTCTTGGAGTAAATTCCACTTTTTATTGTTTATCATGTAAAACAGCTTATTTGGACAATCGAAGTGGCAAATATTTCCTCAAAAACATTTTTGTGGGTAATTTTGAAGGACTAATTTTTGCACTGT